GACCGAGATGCAGGCTTTTCTTTCCTAACCAACCTGTGCCTTTACACTAGAACCATTATACAAGACAGGATCAACATGGTTAAAAAAACAAACAAAACAAGCAACAATGGAAAAATGTTGAGTAATGTGTATAAACTGTACTACGTAGGGTTTTTTCTGTTTTGTGTAATGTTTACGACTGTTCACTTAATGTTTCACTAGAAAAAGTGATTTGTTAGTGTAAAGTAGAAAACTTTTTTGCAAAGATCTAAACACTTACTGAAAGGAAAATTATTTTAGATTTTTATTAACAGCCATAACATACCCACTAGACACAAATGGGCTATTCCTGTCATTCCTTATGAGCATAGCTTTCATGTGTGCAGAACTGGAACCCTCAATCACTGGGCTGAAATCAGTAGGACTAGGACATTTGTGTGATGCTGATCACACTGGCAGGTGTGATGCTGGCAGGTCTGGTCCCACAGGCTGAGCTTCCTTTGTAGTTTTAAATTACTGTTCCAGTGGAGTCTTACACTCTACACCACTGCTGTACCAAACCCTTTACTTCTTAAGACTCGACTTCTTCTGTTGTGAACATCACTGAGCTCTACGTCCTGTAATATTCTGCACCTTGTATGAGTGAAGCTAATGCTTCCATTTGGAGCTTACTTTTGTATTTTATAATTTATAAAGGAAATCAAATAGATGGACATGACCTCTACAGCTGGACAGAGGAAACTCTCTTTAAAGAGCCACACTCAGAACCAGCTTAGCACAGGAGGCAGAGCTGATCTTCCAAGGGATTCGTACAACAGTTAGTAAAGCAAGTGCTTTAGGTCCTCAGCTGGCCTGTGAAGGGGCTGTTGCTAGCAGGATGTGTGCTAACACTGACAGATCACTTTTTTGACTACAGACTGTCTGCGCGTTGAACTGTGTAAAAGCGTTTTCCTGTTACAAGTCAAACAATTTACTGGACCAGGTTCAAGTTTTATTCAAAATATATAATTTTTTAAGTGTAACTAAAAGCTGTATTTTCCATTAATGTGTTTCTGCGTTGACTAGCTGGCTCCTTTTTAGAATATTAACTGTTTTCTGTATTTGACTTGTTGGATACAATATTTCAATTATTTTAAATGTGAAATTTCCAATTGCCAACACTGTATAATAAAATTAAAAAGAAAAAAAAAAAATCACACCGCTTGCTCTTTTCTTGACAACTCTTTTTTTACAATTCCAAACACATCTGGTACAAAGCTTCTGAAGTAGGGAAACTAGCTAAGGGGAAAAGGAAATAGAAACAGCAGGAAGAATCTATGGAAGTTAATGTTTGAAGACAAAGATACATAAATATGTCCATGATCCACCCCTCATGAAAGGTGTTGCTGAGGCTAAGGCAAGGAAGTTCTGTGTTCAATTTATTTATCTCCAACTTCCTCTATGTCCTTGAGCAATCTTTCTACGGCTTCAGGATCTGTTGCTCTTTTATACAGGTGTTTAACTGATTAATTATTTAAAAAAAAACATGTGAAGCAGATAACATATCAACAGGAACCATATGAACACCTAAAATATACAGCTGCATCCTGTGAAATCCTTCTGTAGTATCTATTATGTTCATTTCTAGAAAAGCTTTTACAGGTGGTGTTGTAATCCAGCAAAGGGAACCTGTGAGTTGGAACTGAAGTGGAATCCAGACTACCTTCCTACTTTCTACCAAAGAGCAGTTTCAAGGCCATAGGAAGTGCCAAAGAGAACTTTGTTAGCCACTAAACGTTGACCAAATGTTCCTCAAAAGAAGTATATTGTCAAGAGTTTGAAAGAGATACTGAAGGAATTTCTAAAAATTTCAGAAAATGAAAAGTGATGACAGTCTCAATTACTGTTGATGGCCTTTTTCTAAGACACTTGTACTACCACAAAACTGAAACATTTTAATTCAGATTTTTTCCAGTAAAATCTAATCTACTATGTAACAAACCCCTGTTACTGCATATATAACTAGTACTGCATATGTAACTAGGAAACATGAGCTATGAAAAGTAGTAATGGAAACTTAACATTGGTGCTAACATTTGTTGTGTAACACACTGTAGCAATATTTTCAACTATTTAATCAGATTTTCACTATGTTTTGGTAAATGCTTTAGGATGTCCAGCCTTTATGGGTAATGGTGAGTGAAAATCAGTTGTGGGCAACCATTCTGACTTTCAAATTTCATTCATTGTTTTGACATATTTTGTCATCTCAATATCTGCAATTTTAACAAATTCTTGGAAAGCATTTTGCTCTTGAATAGTTGCTGGTCGTACAGAGACACACTTGAAAATGTTCCTTTTTGCATCATAGTTTCCCATGCACCTGTGCACTCGACCTCTAATTAGTCTTGGGAGCTCCCGGTCCTTCATCAAAAGCATAATAAAAAAAATTAAAAGATTGTCACCTTTCTAATGTAAAAGCTTTCAAAATGCATGATTGTTAGGTATTAGTGGATTTCTGAAGGCTATATCAAGCACCAATTGTGAAGTATTTGTGGATTTCTGAAGGCTATATCAAGCACAGAAGGAATTTACATCAGCTTTTTTGCTATGATCAGCTACTCTAAAAGCTGGCCTGAAGTCCCACCATTTTTGCTGAAATTGGAGTCTGAGGATGCCTGACTGGATGACTGCCCTAGACCAGTTTGGGAACAATACAGTATAAGCATCCAGCTTTCCTTTCACACAGTAATTCTCTCCTTTATCAGAACAACATAACAGTTCCACGAGAGGGATTACAGCCAGTGGTGTGTGCATTGTGTGTGGATACAGAGTACTTACAATTTCGTAGAAGACACAAGGCAGACTCTCCTTTCCATCCCTCAGGAGAAAAGTCTTTGCCCCATATGCTCCAGGTGTGACTGCAGAATCGAGCGTGCCTGTACCATTCAGCAAAAACAAATGGTGATGTAGAGCACCAGAGCAGTACCAAGTGTGACAAACATTCACTACACAAAAGCACTAAGACTTATCAGGTGAGCAGCAGCTTTCTGTAAGAACTGGTGCTGACAGCACTGGAAGTTCCAGTACAAATGATGGGCTTTCCATAGTTCTGGAACTGTACAATTGTGTATGATGTCTCTAAACTGAGTGACCAAATGTGGTTTTCACAGCTGTCACTGGGAACAGGTTATCCCCTTGTTAAGGAGAGCACAGCACAATTCTCTTTAAGTTTTACTGATCTTCATGTGCAAATCAACTTTAAATATTTGCAGCTTTGTCAAAACAATTTTCTGAGATTGTATATTGTAATTCACCTTGATTTAAAGTTTAGTCATTTGAGTCTTCTGTGATGCTCAATTCTCAGATAACATCAATTGAAAGGCAAAGTGAAACACACTAAAAATCATCTATGTTTACAAGTACTCCAGACTTGAATTTATTCCCAGATTAATTGTATTAAAAATTACTGTAAAACTGTACCTCTCTACAGAAGGTTCTTATTAAACAGGAACATTTACTATAACACATTCTAAAAAGAAGGCAAGAAAAGAAACAGAACAGAAAGAGCTTAAACGTTGGAGGATGACTGTATTATTAATTTTGTACCTATTGTGGTCACCTTTGATAGCTGAAAGAATCTCCCAGCAGGAAAATTAGATGGTGCTCGTGCCAGTACTTTATGGTTTTAAGTATTTCAGCTATTGTGCCTACAGTTAGTAACATTTTCACTCAGCTGCTGTCCTATCAGTATTACTAGTGATAGCACACTCTACCATGCTTACCTAGAACTTCAAATAATAGTGGAGTTTTATAAGAATATTGACTCCAGTGCCTCATACTTTCAATGACTGCAGATAAGATTCGCAACGAATTCTTTTTTTCTTTAATTTTTAACAGAGATGATGAAGCTTCCTTTCAGAGGAAGATGAAAATTTAAGTTAGAGATACACATAATTTTAAAAAGCACATAGATATTTATATATTATGTTAAATAGACAATGTTTACATACAAATTATTTGCTCAGAGTAAATAACTCCCTGACAATTTACATTATCACACTTAGGATTATAGGTTATTATAATAGGAAACTTCAAATCTAAATTTTCAGAAACTGAATAGTTTACTAAGACTTCTAGGACCAGTGAAAGACTAATCTTTCCTCAGGATTCTTTTTCTTTACTGTTTTCTACCTTGTATCTTCCTGCTATCTCTTTCTATAAGTTTACCTGACCTTTGTCTTCTGGAACACAATCAAATTGGTTTTCACTCATTTTTGTTTGCTGAGTACTGTGGTTAAATTTATACACCAGACTACGATCCTGCAGAGCTGCTGAAGCAGTGTTAGGTTTTGCTGGCCATTGTCCCTTAGCTGCATATGTTTGGCTGGTCTCTGGTGTTTTGATAAGCTGAGGTGAATTATGGTTATCAGGGTTTTTTGGCTGCTGAACAGTTCTCAAACTATTTGAAATGCTCCCAAACTTTTGAAGAATTCCACTGTTGGATCTTGAACCTGTTGTGTTACTCAGAAGAGTATACTCATTTCTGTTCCAAATTTTAGTACCGGGCGCCTTCTCTTCTGCCCTGCAGTACAACCAGAGATACAGTTCAGTATCATAATAGCTATTCTGAATACTTAGATATCCAATTCAAGTGTATAAAAGCAATCTCAGTATTGTTGGCTTAGCTTTAAAAACATCTGTTAGATATTCAGACTCAAGGCTTGCAGTAACCACACCTGTGCTTAAGTCCAGCTGAATTCAACAGGCCTTAAAAGCTTGCTCAGTTATTGTCCTGCCCTCTGCAAGGGACCTTTCCTGGCCTAAGATTCATACTTTTCCCATAAGTCTAAAATAAAATAAGCAAAGTTTCTTCTGAGAGTGGTATTCCCAAATTCTTCCTCCACAATCACCAAAGAAGTGATTTTACAACAAACTCTAGTGCTGATCTTATTATTTCTAGCACGCTTCTTTATAAAGAGGGTGTCTCAGAAATTCCTTTCACCTCCACTCCATTTTCCCTTTGAAGGCACTTGTCTGAGACATTCACTCTCTTTTTGCCAGTGGAAAGGAACAGGAGGAAGGGAAGAGAGAAAAAGGACAATTATAACAGAGCTGGAAGTTTTCCTGCCAGCTCTGGGCATCTGAATCAATAAGCTTTTTCTTGGTTTATAAAAGCCAAGAGTTCAAAATTATATTCAGTTTTGGTTAAATATTCTGATATACAGTTGCCCTAATGTACCCTTACAGAAGCCTATTTGAGTCTATTGATAAATTTGGTTTGAAAGTAGGCCAAACTTCAAGTGAAGAGGAATCTAAAAAAATTACATCTAAGACCAGCAAAATTCAATCAACTTTTATGGTGAGACTGAATTTTAAGCCTGATAAGAAGTTTATTAGCTCTAATTAATAGGCCTCATTAGGTACACTGGAAAGATACTTCATTCCAGTGGCCCATAAGCACAATGGAATTATTGTGGACTACAGTGATGAGCTCAGAATTAAAAAAGTCTCTCTGAGTGCTACAAGGATATGGAATAGAAGAGATATTTTCATGTGAGAATAATTTTGGTTAAGGAAGGATAATGAACATTAAAGGACTTCACCAACCTGCAGGCATACAAGTTTTTTCCAGGATTTGCTAAATTAGACTTTGATGCATTTGGTGTTTTCATAAGGGAAGGAGCCATCTGATGTTCTGTTCGGCTTTCAAAGATAAGTTTAAATTATCAGTGTGACGTAGTAGCAACTTTATTGTGAGACAGACACATGGGTCATAGTTTGTGAAACAATTACTAGCCAAAGAAAAATCAATAAGAGACAAACAATCGGCTTTTACATACCTGTTATTTGCTGCTTTCTGTACTTCAGTCGCTTCTGGGCTTGCAGTGCCCCAGCCTGATTCTTAAAAGAGAAAGGATTGAGTATGGATACAAACGGAAAAGGTTGAAAGGTAATAGGTCTGCTTAGGGCTCCTGCCCTTTGTCTGCTTAATGTTCCACAGACAGCCTCACCCGGGAAGGAGAAAGAGGGGGGAAAAAAGGGAATGCTTTGATATCTGTAATTACAAGGCAACTTCTAACAAGTAGGTTGCTTCTCTAGACAACGGTTAAGTTACACAGACTTTTACTTTAAATTTTTCACTTCATTATAAGTAAAACACAAGTGAAGCACTAAAGGCAGAATTTGAAGAACAGTTCTCTTTTCAATTACATGAAAGACATCTTATAAATGTTTCTTCTTGTAACACAGGACTTGAATGTTGATTGAAATCAGCTGAAAACAAAAGGTCAGAGTTTCAAGAGACTCTATTTAAATGCGGGTGCTACTTCATTCTCCAACACACAAAGAGTCAAACTCCCTCCAGGCACAAAGTATAAAAAGCTCAATTGTATAGAGGAGAAAGAAATTTCCTGGAGGACATTTTTTAAATAATGAGCTTTTCAGAAATAAACATAAAGGATGCCTACAGTTCTTGATAAAGACAATGTCTAATTTAATAAAATACAAGCATAAAGTTAAGGTTTATTTGGATTTAGAGCCATTAAAAAAAAAAAAAAAATCTCATTTACCGAATGATGTGGGAGAAAAGTCATAATTACAAGTCCTGGAACTGGTACCTGGCTCACTTTTAAGTGGATTTGAAGTGAGTGGCTGTCTGTTTCTTTTCTTCTGATTGAACAGAGGTACAGGAAGACAACCTAAAATTAAAATTCAAATAATAATACTACAGCAATAGCAAAAGGATACATGAGCTACACTTAAAAATATGCAAATAAAATTACTTAACAATAATTTTACATAATCCATAGGAATTATATTCCACAAACACATAACAGACAGCCGTTGCCTCACAGTATTTATATTCCCAGGCCTCTGTTCTTAGTGACCAGTCCCCTGATTCTGTTCAAAGCCTTGCCCTGTGCTGCAGTAAAACAGGTAACTCACACAAGTCCACTCAGGAAATGTGGGGCCAGGACTGAATACTGCATGTCCTGTGTCAATACTGCATGTGTGTGTGAGTATATATAGAGAGATATAAACATAATGAGGTATGAATGGAAAAGCACAAAAGAACGGATGGTACCTGCTGTGCTGCGAGTTGAAGTGTCAGCTAGACTCCTTTTCATTGCTTTGTCCTCTCTTAATAGGCAAAGATGTATTGATTACTCCAGATCTACTGTCTGGAAGTTAGATAAGCAGACAAAGTAAACTCATTCATGTTGTAAAACATTCAAATTCTGTGTGATTTTATGGCAGTCTCTCTTAACTCTGCACACCCATTAATGTGCATCACTTCAGACACAAGCCTAAAACATGCGAGCACTTCTACTGGCTTTAGAAGATTCATGGGTACAGAAGTAACACGCAATTAATTGCCCTTTGCAGATTAAGGGCCAAAATGACTAAATTTTTGAAGTAAAAGCTGTATTCTCTTCCTTTTTTTAAGTGCTGTAAAAATACTGAATACAGTTTTGAATTTAGAAGTTCACATAGTCAAATACAAGGATTTTTTTTTTCCAATTCCTGAAAATAGAATACTAATTGAAAACACATACTTACATATTGCTGTAAAGTATGATGGCAAGGTACATGGCTTTAAATAAAAATCTGATTTAACTATTCTGTGAAAAGTAGCATCATGCTTCAAAAAACAAAACTTCTTTTCTCTGCTTTGTGGTACAGACCTAAAACCTTTAGCCACTTTCCTCATATACAAAATACTCCACACATTTATTACCAGTATGTATTAACATAAGAAAGTTTGCCATGTATTTTTTCCTGATCAATCTACTTCTATAGTAAATGTCTATTTACTTTACATTATTGCCTATGTCAAAGATACTACAGACTGCTGTGTAGCATTAGTTGCTGGTCTATCAAAGTTAGTCACTGGTGCATATTGCCTTTAGTGACACGTGAATAACATTGCATACTTGTGTGTGTAAATAAGACATTACTTTTATGTTTATTTTGACCTGGCAGTTAACAATATGCAGCTGTTAAAGGTGTTGGTAAGAATGAAGCACAAGTATCTACCGCAGCTAGACTACTAGATTAATTTACTCTTTATTTCTATGAGATATGTCAATCACACGGTGTGAGGATCACACACGTGCGACATTAGAACAATTATTACTCTTACACAATTCAGACTGTATTGTGAGAACTATGAAGCCTAATAGCCACCAGTAAGTTACATACTTGTAAAATAAAACCCCATAAAGCTGACATTTCAGTTTATGAAGCCAGTTTTGGTATTGCATAGGATTTTAGACTGGAACCTTTTGCTTTCTGTACTCTCTTGAATACAAGCAACACAAACCCTGCTAGAGCTGCAGAAAAAAAGTAATCTAAGGACAGAAGAGATACCAGGGCAAGACTCAGCAGTACTTCACACTGCAGCAGCAGCACCGGTCACAGGCTAAAGGACTGAAATCCGTGTTAGAGTCTGAAGGAGAGGGCTGAGGCGGAGCCCGCCAAAAGTAACGGCCCTAGCGGCGGAGCCGTCGCACCTGAGGGAGGGAGGAAAGGGCGGGAAGGGGCTGGCGGCGCCCTCCTCCCA